ACCAAAAATTCTGAAATGTCCATCCCCAACTACAACATTTTTCATCTAGATAGAACTGCCAAAGGGGGTGGAGTTGCAATCTACTGTAGAGATAGCCTGCAGAGCTCTATCATACTATCCAGGTCTGTGCCCAAACAGTTTGAGCTTCTACTTCTAAAAATCCACCTTTCCAGAAATAAGTCTCTCACTGTTGCCGCTTGCTACAGACCCCCCTCAGCCCCCAGCTGTTCCCTGGACACCATATGTGAATTGATTGCCCCCCATTTATCCTCAGAGTTCGTACTGCTTGGTGACCTAAATTGGCATATGCTTAACACCCCGGCCATCCTACAATCCAAACTAGATGCCCTCAATGTCACACAAATTATCAACGAATCTACCAGGTATAACCCTAAATCCGTAAACATGGGTACCCTCATAGATATCATCCTGACTAACTTACCCTCTAAATACACCTCCGCTGTCTTCAACCAGGATCTCAGCGATCACTGCCTTATTGCCTGCGTCCGTAACGTGTCCGCGGTCAAACGATCACCCTTCATCACTGTCAAACGCTCCCTAAAACACTTTAGCAAGCAGGCCTTCCTAATTGACCTGGCCCAGGTATCCTGGATGGATATAGATCTCATTCCGTCAGTAGTGGATGCCTGGTTGTTCTTTAAAAGTAATTTCCTCTCAATCTTAAATAAACATGCCCCATTCAAAAATAACAGAACTAAGAACAGATATAGCCCCTGGTTCTCCTCAGACTTGACTGCCCTTGACCAGCACAAAAAAAATCCTGTGGCGTACTGCATTAGCATCAAATAGCCCCCGTGAAGTTAGGAACCAATATACACAAGCAGTTAGGAAAGCAAAGGCTAACTTTTTCAAACAGAAATTTGCATCCTGTAGCACTAACTCCAAAAGTTTTGGGACACTGTAAAGTCCATGGAGAATAAGAGCACCTCCTCCCAGCTGCCCACTGCACTGAGGCTAGGAAACACTATCACCACCGATACATCTACAATAATCGAGAATTTCAACAAGCATTTTGCTACGGCTGGCCATGCTTTCCACCTGGACACCACTACCCCGGCCACCAGCTCTGCACCCTCCGCTGCAAGTTGCCCATGCCCCCCCCCGCTTCTCCTTCACACGAATTCAGACAGCTGATGTTCTGAAAGAGCTGCAAAATCTGGACCCCTACAAATCATCTGGGCTAGACAATCTGGACCCTTTCTTCTAAAACTAGCCGCCGAAATTGTCGCAACCCCTATTACTAGCCTGTTCAACCTCTCTTTCGTAACGTCTGAGATCCCCAGAAATTGGAAAGCTGCCGCGGTCATCCCCCTCTTCAAAGGGGGTGACACTCTAGATCCAAACTGTTACAGACCTATATCCATCCTGCCCTGCCTTTCGAAAGTTTTTGAAAGCCAAGTTAACAAACAGATCACCGACCATTTCGAATCCCACCGTACCTTCTCCGCTATGCAATCCAGTTTCCGAGCTGGTCATGGGTGCACCTCAGCCACGCTCAAGGTCCTAAACAATATTATAACCGCGATCGATAATAGACAGTACTGTGCAGCCGTCTTCATCGACCTGGCCAAGGCTTTCGACTCTGTCAACCACCGCATTCTTATTGTCAGACTAAATAGCCTTGGTTTCTCAAATGACTGCCTCGCCTGGTTCACCAACTACTTCTCAGATAGAGTTCAATGTGTCAAATCGGAGGGCCTGTTGTCTGGACCTATGGCAGTCTCTATGGGGGTGCCACAGGGTTCAATTCTTGGGCCGACTCTTTTCTCTGTGTATATCAATGATGTCGCTCTTGCTGCTGGTGACTCTCAGATCCAGCTCTACGCAGACGACACCATTTTGTATACATCTGGCCCTTCATTGGACACTGTGTTAACAAACCTCCAAATGAGCTTCAATGCCATACAACACTCCTTCAGTAGCCTCCAACTGCTCTTAAACACTAGTAAAACTAAATGCATGCTCTTCAATCGAACTCTACTGGCACCCGCCCACCTGACTAGAATCACTACTCTCGACGGGTCTGACCTAGAGTATGTGGACAACTACAAATACCTAGGTGTCTGGTTAGACTGTAAACTCTCCTTCCAGACTCACATTAAGAATCTCCAATCCAAAGTTAAATCTAGAATCGGCTTCCTATTTCGCAACAAAGCCTCCTTCACTCATGCTGCCAAACATGCCCTCGTAAAACTGACTATCCTACCGATCCTTGACTTCGGCGATGTCATTTACAAAACAGCCTCCAACACTCTACTCAGCAAATTGGATGTAGTCTATCACAGTGCCATCTGTTTTGTCACCAAAGCCCCATATACTACCCACCACTGTGACCTGTACGCTCTTGTTGGCTGGTCCTCACTACATATTCGTTGCCAAACCCACTGTCTCCAGGCCATCTATAAATCACTGCTAGGCAAATCCCCGCCTTATCTTAGCTCATTGGTCACCATAGCAACACCCACCCGTAGTATGCGCTCCAGCAGGTATATCTCACTGGTCATCCCCAAAGCCAACACCTCCTTTGGCCGCCATTCCTTCCAGGTCTCTGCTGCCAATGACTGGAACGAATTGCAAAAATCTCTGAAGCTGGAGACTCTTATCTCCCTCACTAACTTTAAGCATCAGTTGTCAGAGCACCTTACTGATCACTGCACCTGTACACAGCCCATCTGAAATTAGCCCACCAAACTACCTCATCCCCATATTGTTATTTATTTTGCTCATTTGCACCCCAGTATCTCTATTTGCACATCACCTCTTGTGCATCTATCATTCCAGTGTTAATACTAATTGTAATTATTTAGCACTATAGCCTATTTATTGCCTTACCTCCATAACTTGCTACATTTGCACACACTGTATATATATTTTCTGTTTGTATTTTTGACTTTATGTTTTGTTTACCCCATATGTAACTCTGTGTTCTTGTTTTTATCACACTGCTTTGCTTTATCTTGGCCAGGTCGCAGTTGTAAATGAGAAAAAGAAAAGAAAAAAGAAAAAAAACATGTAACTGAATGGGTATCGAACCCAGGTAGTCTATCTATTTGACTCCAGACTGTGTAAGCCTTCTAAGATAAAGTCTTTAGTTACTCATCATGGGGTGACTGTGACCAACTAATGTTTAAGTTTGAATTTTCACTTAGTCTCCAATTGTCATCACTACATGACAAAGTGAAAATTTGCCTCGCCCCCAAGTTTGTGTAGTTTGGTGAACTACTTCCATTACCTACATGCCAAGACTTCCATTGGAGAGTTCCACAGAAGACTCTTGAGGTTCTTGGGGACAATTCAACGCAGTCATTTATGGTGATAAATAGATACCATATTAATTTCCTCACTGGTATTTGAAAACTTTATGAACTTTGTGAAAAGCACTGCCCTCCTGTGGCAGGAAGCAGACCTTGTTCTACAGAAAGGGAACGGTCCCTGAGTTGAAGCGACCAGTGAATTTCAGTGTCTCTCTCTCTCACACAAGCACCTGTGTGCGCACGCACGCACACACACACACACACACACACACACACACACACAGGGCGAGAGAGAGGTAGTGTGTCTGAAGTATAGTAGTTAGCAGTAGTCAGCTACTGTTTGTCAAAGACCTCTCCATCACGGTTGACAACTCCACAGTGTCGCCCCCCAGAGCGCAAAGAACCTTGGCGTGACCTTGGCCAACACCCTGTCGTTCTCTGCAAACATCAAAGCAGTGACTCGCTCCTGCAGGTTCATGCTCTACAACATCCTTAGAGTACAACCCTACCTCACACAGGAAGCGGCGCAGGTCCTAATCCAGGCACTTGTCCTCTCCCGTCTGGACCACTGCAACTCGCTGTTGGCTGGGCTCCCCGCTTGTGCCATCAAACCCCTGCAACTTATCCAGAACACTGCAGCCCGCCTGGTTTTCAACTTTATTAAGTTCTCTCATGTCACCCCGCTCCTCCGCACACTCCACTGGCTTGCAGTCGAAGTTTGTATCCACTACAAGACCATGGTGCTTACCTATGGAACAGCAAGAGAAACTGCCCCTCCCTACCTTCAGGCTATGCTCAAACCCTACACCCCAACCCGAGCACTCCGTTCTGCCACCTCAGGTCTCTTGGCCCTCCCGCTCAGCCCAGTCCAAGCAATTCCTTGTCCTGGCACCCCAATGGTGGAATCAGCTTCCCCCTGAAGCTAGGACAGCAGTCCCTGCCCTTCTTCCGAAAACATCTGAAACCATACCTCTTCAAACAGTATTTTAAATAATCCATCCTCCTCCTTGCCTCCATACACCCCCCCCCCCCCCCCACACACACAAAATACCTGAACCAGAACTTGCAGTTGACTCTACTGATAGCTATTTTATTGAGGAACATTTTACTTATATGCCTGTGATATGTGGTTGTCCCACCTCACTATTTTAAGATCAATGCACTAACTGTAAATCGCTCTGGATAAGAGCGTTTTCTAAATGACTAAAATGTAAATGTAATCCAAACGAAATCTATACAGTACGCTAGAGAAGTAGGCAAACTGTTTCATTACATCATACTTTATAATGACTGCCACCAGAGAGACATTGAACAATTATTCACGCTCTTCTGTAAAATTTGAAATATTTGAAATCAAGAATGTCACATGGTATGGATTGGACTAGGCTACAAAGCGAGTGTATTTCTTCCAGAATTTAAAACCGCCTTTTTATTTTACATAATGGTCAGTAGCAAGCGTCTCATCAAGACCTAGTCACTCTGAATGGTTTCAAAGGGAGATCGTTGGTCACTGAATAATTTTCATAAAGCACAAAATTGTATTTCAGTATTATTTCCAAACAGTATTTCTTATTTATAATAATATATGAAAAATAAAAACTATTGTGGTCTTATAGGGACTGTATTATTTTAAATATATATAGCTGTTTATTGTCCTCCCCTGTAAAAAATGGGTCAGTCGACTCCCTGCCGCGAGGTGTTTTTGTACCCTCTGCTACAGAACAGATTTGTGTCGCGCGGGCCTTCAATCGATAGCTTTGCAACAATCTTTCCAAAAGATGCTAGCTCACGGAATTAAAACAATAAAACGAAGAACAATAACTCAAGAAACTCTTGCCTCTATCCAAACTCGGATAGACTAACATTCAAGTAACTTCCTCATAGTTTGAAAGGTGTAGCCTATTTCTTTCAGAACTATCGCTCTCGAACATTTTACAAGAGCAAGCTCGCGCCAGTCTGATGAATTCGCCAAACCAGGACGAAGATGATGTGCCCGTTAAAGACCCGGTAAAATACGGAGAGTTGGTCATATTGGGGTGAGTAACGGTAGGCTAGACGGATAACTTGTAGTTAATATCACCGGATCGAAACTGAGCTAATAGTCGTAGTAGTGCACTTAGGCTACTAGTCTACTATATTAGCCTACTACGAAAAAATGGAAGGGATGACGTGTGAGGCAGTTGAGTTCGGTTGGTTTTGTTCTACACAGAAATGTTTTATCCTTTACTGCTGTACAGAAAATGTAAATTTACTGTTATTTTGTAACATATTTACCCCACAACATTGTGAGGGAATTATTGTGAAGGTGCAGGAGATCGAGCGCTAAATAAGGACACGTTACAGTAACTTTGTAACACTTTATGACTGATTTGATACACTGGTGGTTACATAGACAAAGTATTGTTACTTTGTAACTAATCTCGTTCACAGACACTTCCACCCAAAGGCGCTAAGCCCAATAGCCTGGGGACGAGGTTACTTTGTAACAGCGCCTGCAGATAATTGTTATAATAAGTAGCTTGCTACATTGTATCATCATAAGCACACACTGAAATGAGTAACGTTAAGGAGGATGCAGCCTTTTTTCTTCAGTGGAGGTCTGAGTGGGTGTAAAATCAGCACTCGATTGCTCAGGCTGAAAATCTCTATGATGTCATACTATTCTGGAACTGTGATGATCGCAGAAAGTGGGGCATTGGATGAAACCAAACCAACCGATAAAACACAGCCTAACGTATGCCACCACCATTGATGTGTATGTGTGTGTGTGTGTGTATATATATATATATATATATATATATATAGCCCACTTTCGTGTTTCACATAGGGGAATTAAATCAACAGACACACATCTGCCTATTGGAGCATTCACAAATGGCGCCTGTAGGCTAAAAACATATTTCCCCACACATACCAGACAGGATATGCATAAGAGCGAGACAGACATTCAGCGTTTCCACCTCTGCCCAGTGTATAGTCCAAATGATCAGTGGGTTAACTACTCTCCCATGCGCTCTCTTACGCCCACACTTACGTCCTGCTTCCTGTATTCACGCCTGCGACCCCATGACGCCTCTCTATTCCTCTCTGCAGCCCTCCTGGACTAGACCACTGCCCAATCCCAAATCAACCCCTGACCCTGGCACAGATCTGAAAGGATTGGATAGGTATAAACAGTATGATTGAATACAGCTCACTCTCTGCGGGATGGCAGAAAGCGGATGTTTCCATTTTTCAGGGATACATTATTTTCAACCTAACTTTCCTTTGAAAAATGAGTCTGGGGACTCCGCTTGGGCGTCTTTTTACGCCTGCTACGTTAGGTTAATATATCTAGCCTACCTCTTGTCTTCTGATAGGCCAGGGTGGAATTTTTGGTGTATTGCATGTACCTCTCCAATGCTCTCAGACCTACAAAAGTAACGCGACATAAGGGTAGGGGTTAGGGGTTGATACACAAGCACATTATGCTTCTCCCCACCGGAGACCAAGATTCAATCCTTGCATCCTCCCTTCTCACACTACACTGTCTCCCCCTCTCATTTCAGTACTGTCTCAATAAAGTGCAAAAAATATGTAAGGAGATGGGAGTTCCACTCATTTGAAAATAAACTGACTGACTACTAGCCCTAGTAATTGTAGATAGGTGTTAGTGGTATGGTCAAATCTCCACCTAGCCCCTGTGGCAATGCTATCCATACATATGCTGTTGACCATTATGGGCACTTGAATAATGATTAACTGCATGTAGCTAAAGGACAGACAATGACAGAGGAAAAAACAGCCATGGCTGACACTACAAGGCACTCAGTCCTCTGCAGAAATGCTATCGGAATATCCCTCTCTCCTTTGTGGTGAGAATAGGCCTGTAATGACACTGTAATGATTTAGGGAGAGGGAAAGGGCATAACTAGTCAGTTGCACAATTGAATGCATTCAACCCGAAGTGTGTCTTCTGCATTTAACCCAACCCCTCTGAATCAGAGCAGTGCGGGGGCCTGCCTTAATCGACATCCACGTCATCGCCGCCCAGGGAGCAGTTGTTGTTGGGGTTTAACCGCCTTGTTCAAGGGCAGAACGGCATATTTTTCCACCTTGCTGGCTGGGGGATTCGATCCAGCGACCGTTTGGTTACTGACCCAATGCTCTTACAATATTCTTCACTCACCCCAGACCCAATGATGTTCTATGAAATGCTGAATGTTCTCTCTCTTGGATAACTAGCTGCAGTATAATCTTGAGAGAACCCTCTCCTCGTCGCTATCAGACATCAAGTGTACATTTTCACTAGCCTAGGTGCGGCCGTTTCTCTCTCAGGCTGATACAGAGAGACTCATCCATGCTTTTATTACATCCAGGCTTGACTACTGTAATGCTCTCCTGTCTGGTCTACCCAAGAAAGCCATTGGTCAACTGCAAAACACTGCAACTGCAAAACAGATCACACAGTACACCAGTTTTAAGCAGTGTTGTAGTACTCGAGACCAATCGGTCTTGAGACAACATATTGAGTGTGTCGGATACATTTGTACTCATCATTTCTTCCCAAGACCAGCGGAATAAAAAACGAATTATCAGCTTCCATTCAGTTAGCGCATAAAACCAATTCGCCTGGCCAAATATATGCACTCCTTTCTTGAAACATTAATACAGTATCTTAACATCCTTAATATCTATTATAGACATGTTTGCGCAGTGGCGAACCTATAGGCCTTCAGTGTGTGACAGGTTCTTGATTCTGAAAGCACAGCAGCCGTAATACTAGCGCACTTTTTGTAAAACACAAAGGCCACATTTTACATTTTAGTCATTTAGCAGACACTCTTATCCAGAGCGACTTAGTTAGTGAGTGCATACATTTTTTCATACTGGCCCCCCCCCCGTGGGAATCGAACCCACAACCCTGGCGTTGCAAGCGCCATGCTCTACCAACTGAGCTACACAGGGCCAGTGGTGTAGTGGAGCGTATACCCACTTTTGTTTGTGGGCATTGCGTATACTCACTTCTTACTCCCTACTGATGCATAACAAAGTAGTGTAGTGGAGGTATACGACTTATCAAGTATGTAGTACAATAGAGAAATCATGCACAATGTAGCCTACACAATCGCAAAGCACGTGAAATATATTCACATGCGCGCCACACACAGCCTAGTTTCAGGAGAATATCATCTGCAGGCAGCAAGAGTGTGCAGCTCTCAACTGGTTTAGCTCACAGAAGAATGACATCGGTAGCTGGTAGGGTAGGAAAGACGTTTCAATTGATGATATCTACCAGTAAATGCTAAGGCAACAATGGGTATGCAAACCAGGTATTGAAATAGTTTAGTCCGAAGTGTTGGTTAGTAGGCTATTTGTGATGCGCAATTGTCATCATCCGCTGTTTGCGTCAGGGGCGTAGACATGGATGGGCCTGGGTGGACAGAGGCCCACCCACTGGGGACCCAGGCCCTGACAGGCACACCCAATCAGATTGATGTGGTTTAAGCATTGTTGTGGACTTAGACCATCAAACGTTTGTATTTTTTTGTATTTCAAAAAAGTTAGATTTTGAGAGTAGAAATCTGAAAAATCTATAGGAAACTCATAAAAAAAGCATAGGAAAATATAGGATTTTTCGCACAGGGTGCCTTTCCTTCGCTGGGTGGGCCGTTTTAGAACTTTTTGGTAAAATCTGAGTATACCCACTTCTCCAGGCACCACTACACCACTGCATAGGGCCGATGGAAAAACAGCCGTCACACACAGCATGATGTTAAAGGATAAGCAGTCCATAAACTCTGACATAATAAGCCACTAGGTGTCAATCATAAGAATACAAAAACACAGCCATTAAGCATTTCCCAATCGAAATGTGCAACTATTACTTCCCATTGCAAAAAACATTTCACGTTTGGCACACAAAGTAACCGGTGACCTAAAGTTTTTAAAGTGGAAGTGACAGTGTTTTAACTACTTTGCAGATATGAAACAGGACAATCATAATATCAGTAAAAAAATATAAAATTCCCAGTTAATGCTACAAAAGCAATTTTCTAAGACGTTTTAAAAATAGGTTATATTTGACTCAACGTTCCATGATGTACACTAAGGCATTGTTGGCAGAATAGATGGATGCAGTTCAATGCATGATTAATATAATTCACCAATACATTCTTGGTAGTCCAAAAAATATTGCTATCAGGTTGTAAATCACAGCTGGGCTGGTACATTGTTCGCTGCCTCCATTCGGGTTGCACTAACTACTTAATATTATGGACAAAAACGGACAAATGTAACTAAGGCTGGGAATGTCAATACAATCAAACTAGCAAGGGCATTTATCACAAGTCAGTCATAACGTGGCTAATAGGCTAGCGTATCTATTTATGTAGCAAGCTAAAAACACGGAGCCTAACGTTAGCTAGCTAGCTGCTAGGAGGATGTCATGCCATTGGAGGAGTGGGTTAGTGACTGACTTTTTCCCCTCATTGTTTTTTGGTAGCTATACACAGCTAGAGATGCAGTGGTCATTTGGTTAGCTAGCAAGAACTTGAACGACTGCTATCCAGTTAACATATCTTTTGTATTTGCAAATTCACTCAGGCTATCAACTCCGATTCAGAGCACTCTCGTTTGAGTGTGCCAGAGCGCAGAACAACTGATGAATTTACGAACGAGCAAAACCCACTGAATATGACCGGTGTCAGTAAACGTAGACAAAAAAAAGTAATAGTTAGTCAAGAACGCTCTAGATAACATGTAAACAGCCTAACCAGCTCTGCTACAGCGAGTAAAATGATCAGAGTAAGGTGTTCTCTCATTTGTGTCTGGAAGTAGCTAGCTAGCCAACTTTAGCTAGTTAGCTTGGGTGCTTGGTTGGGACAAGCATGCATTGGCAGGCAAGCTGCACAACCTTTTATAAAGTTCCCAAATGTAAGAGGACTCCCGTGGTGTTTACATATTTGCAGAAATCCATTCAGGTGTATTTTGTGGCTTTTGGCGAATGCGTTCTAATGATCTAAAGTCGCACTGTTGCAACTGCCTGTAAACACTGTCCAGTTCAAAGTGAATGATGGCAGGCCCGTGTGGCAAATGGCTTGTTTGTATAAAGGCCTACTGTAGCACTGATTGGCTATAGTCTGTGTAGACTCCGGTCCTGGACAAGACAGATGGTTTTATTTACTGCAGTGTCTATTAATTGTCCAAACGCACGGCCGCTTTCCCACTATATATTGCTATCGAATTTTCAGAAATGCCTTAGTATACTTAATTCCCAAACATTCTAAGAATTTATGAAAATGTGAAAATGACCATATCTAAGTGATTGCTTGTCAGAAATTGTTTTAAAAAGTGTCATATTCTTCCTAGGGGTGTATATGAACAGGTTTTAATAAGATGTCATGTTGCTAAAATGCAGTCAGTTCCACTTTAAATGCAACAATGTTTCACAAACAAGTTATTTTCGAAGCGATGACTAACAACAGCAAGTGCGCTGCCATAAAAAAACACAGTTCTACTCACCAGGTGATGATCATTTGAAAGGTAACTTCTTGTTGAAAGTTATTCTTGAAAAGCGAGAAGCTAACAAATTAGCAACAACATCATCTTTGATAACACCTGCTGCAGCCGCTGCAAACTAGCCAACAACAAAAGCTAGCTAGCTAGACCGTGGAAAAACTACTGCTCGCTATTGCGCAGTGACCTGTTGGCCTTCAAGAAGGCAGAAGTTTCCATAGGTTTTTGTTAAAACGGTTCCACCCATTAAGTCAAAATCTGATTGGTTGATTCCACTGTCACTCCAAAATAATAATATAATAATAATAATATGCCATTTAGCAGACGCTTTTATCCAAAGCGACTTACAGTAATGTGTGCATACATTTTTACGTATGGGTGGTCCCGGGGATCGAACCCACTACCCTGGCGTTACAAGCACCATGCTCTACCAATTGATCTACAGAGGACCACAAAATGTTGCCCTAATACAGTTGAATGGCAGATGCCTTTATCTAGCTTCTGATGGCCTAGCCAATGGCTGATTTAGCAAGCTAGATTTATCTCCCCAGAGACTAGCAAAAATCCTGATTGGATCTTTTTTCTCTTCAGTGTTAATCTTTTATTTTCCAACAAAAACTAATAAGATTAAATCAGAATATCATTGAAAATAATATAATTATCATTATTATATTATTATAATCATTAAAAAATTGTTTCCCACTATGTTTTGGTTAGTAATAATTTTTAGAGTGGCTCTATTTTCCCTCAGCATGCATTTTTGCACTATTTTTAATGTCTAAAGATGTATTTTATTTTATTTTTTTACCTTTATTTAACTAGGCAAGTCAGTTAAGAACAAATTCTTATTTACAATGACCACCTACACCGGCCAAACCCGGACGACGCTGCGCCGCCCTATGGGACTCCCAATCACGGCCGGTTGTGATACAGCTTGGAATCGAACCAGGGGGTCTGTAGTGACGCCTCAAGCCCTGAGATGCAGTGCCTTAGACCGCTGCGCCACTCGGGAGCCCGAGAATCTATATGTTGTTCTGAAATATGAACACAGAAATACTTTTTCGTTTTTCAGTTTGTGTCATTATTTTGTTTTTATCTTATGTTTGTTGTGTAGTAAATATTTCAGCTTTTATTTTCATTGTTTTTTATTTGTTTTTTTCCCAGTAAAGCACATTGCGTTGCATTCCATGTCTGAAATGTGCTGTATAAATAAAGCTTGATTTGATTATATCCTGCTGCGATGGCATGATTTGCCAGGTCCACCTTAAAGATAACATATTCTGCAGTCTCTGCCTGTCTATCGCAGGGCATGTGACGTGACGTGATGTGATGTGATGTGATGTCTGTTCTGCAGTGAGTCCCTGTCTGTCTGCTATCTCTCATTCATTACCTTAGTTACACTGGGCTCTGTGTGTCAAGTCCAGCTCTGCTGCTCACTCCTGCCTTCTCTCGCTCGTTCTCTCTCACACTTAATGGTTTGGGTCTCACTGACGTCCCTTTTGGATGGTTAAGCATTGCACCTGTACTACCATTACTGTACCTCAATTCCACCTCGCAAAGTTAGCGTTTTCTTCTCATTTAACTTCTCAAAGTATTGCCATACAAGACTTTGCTGCTGTCGCTGGCCTTTCTCTGCCATTTTTCCAATTGTTAACGACGATGACGTAGTGGTGGAGAGTCGACTCCAAAATAATTAATTCCTCGACTCCCGGTCTCGACACCCATTTCTGAGTGTCAAGATTCTGCTAGGAATCGACTCCTCTAAGATTCAGTATTTTTTGGAATGGAGGAGACTGATTAGTTGCCGTACTTCCGAGAACACAAACACTTGCATCTTTCATAGCGAGCTAGCGAGGGACGGAGAGAGAGGGGCACAGTATAGTGCATTAGGCCTATCTATCGACAATCAGAAGCTGCATCTCGCAATGGAATGCTGTATCTCACAATTTCTTGGCTTGCAATGTATCACAATTTCAGTAAAGCAGGGCCTATCATCAATGAATAGGATATTGAGATGAGCGAGATGCAACACTTCTCTCTCACACAGTTACAGTATCTGCTCATGTGCACGGGTTCGTTTCACGCTGTTCACAGAGTGGGAGCCAGGGAACCAAAACAGTGAAGAAGTTGAGCCTCGCGCTTCAACCCTCTTAGTTGTTGCGTAAATTGACCCACTATGCTGTTTACTTTATGCATCTACATACAAATAAAAGACACAAAAACATTTTATTTTCTCGGTTAAAGACTTTTCTTAACGTTAAGGATCCCAATTTCATTTCAACGTTTTAACGTTCACACTCCTATCTCTCACACAGTTTATATATCTTCCTCCATCCCTCCCCTCCCTCCTTCCCAGTGCTGTTTGCTGAATCTCAGTGGCTCCTCTGCTCTCCACTAAAATAAGCCCCGTGTCAGGGGGCAGAGGAAGTTAATATTTCATACTGCATGTACTCTGTGCTGTGCTGCCGAGTGCACATGCGTGAAGCAGTCGGACCAGAACTGGCCAGGTGAAACGTATCACATCGCATCTCGACCCTCTCATCTCTTTCTGTATCCCTCTCTTCATGACCTTTGCCCTGCTCTCCTTCTGCCCCCTCTCTCTCTCCCACATGTCCACCCCCTTTCTCTCTGCCCTGTCTCCCTGTATTTCTTTGCCCTCTTCCTGCCCTGGTCTATTTCTCCTCTTTCAGCCCTCTCTCCCCGCCCTCCTCCCCCTCTCCCTTGCCTGTTCAGCTCTGTCCTAATGTGACACAGGGTCATTGTACAGGTAGCAGTGTTCCATTCAGCTCTCCTCTCCTCAGATCTCATGACAGGGCCTGTGTCTATTCCACCCTATTCTAACACTGGGAAAGGGAAAGATCTTGGCTTGTCTGGTTTAGAACTGTTGAATGATCCTGATCGTCCAGAAAGAGTATCTACAGCTTAGGGAGGAAGAGAGAGAGGGAGAGTTGATTTGATTTGGAAGCAGAGTTGATGACCCCTCACGAAGGGCTTTGTGCCCACTGGGCATCATCCGAATAGACTTTAATAGGTACCATGCTGCTGATTAGCTAAAACCAGCATGCGGCCCTCTCCGTGAACTCCTAGCATGACAGCGCAGCTCCACTCCGTTGCCAAGGAAGCTAGAGACGAGACACAAAATAGTTTAGGTTTGAACAATCAGCAGAGATGACAGCACCGTTCCACTTAGGCTAACGCTTACTCATCCACTCTTTCTCTCTTTCCATCTCTCTCTCATTCTCTTGCTTGCAAACAAGCATGCACACACACACACTGAATACAGTTTAATTGGTGTTTCAGTGTAAAGAGGGTTCAACCAGTAAGTGCACAATTCTAAGTGGATTGTCAGTGAATTGGGCTCAAGTGGTACTTATCAATGTATGGGCGGGCAGTTGTACAATACATTAGTCTGTGAGGAATGAGTGGTGGGTGTGATAGGCCAGCGTTACAAAAGGGAAGTTTCATTCTGTGGCAAAGTATGCCTACAGGCAACCAACCAGCAAAACAGAAGGGCCAAATGCTCAGTATTGATTTGTGATATCAACTGTCTTAAACGATCACATGAGGTGAATAGGCTACATGGGGTATTCCCTTTCATTAATAATGGAGCCTCTCTGTGTGTTTGTTTTTGTGTTCTCTGTAGGTGCAATGGTTCTCTGCCCAGTGGAGACAGGGGGAGGAGGAAGAGCCGCTTCGCTCTGTACCGGAGGACCAAGGCCAACGGAGTCAAACCCAGCACTGTTCACATCCTCAACACACCACAGGACAGCAAGGTGTGTGTGATGTTATCATAGTCTTCCTATGGTGGGAAATGCTGTCCTCATGGTAACCTACAGTAAGAGTGGACAGAGTAAAAGGATTATTGGTGTGTGTCTGTGTGATTGCAGGCAGTCCACAGCAGAGGGCAGCACAGCATCTCCTTCACTCTGTCCCGCAACCAGACGGTGGTGGTGGAGTACTGCCACGACAACGACACTGACATGTTCCAGGTAAACACCACAACAAGGGTTTTATTTCGGCTAAATACCAGAATGATGCTAGCTTATCTAGAGAACACTGAGGTCTTTGTCTTCCAAAACCAGGAAGAACAGAAAGAGGATAGTTATTGTACACCCAGGTGTTGCTACCACTTCCCCTTTTTGAAAGACAAAGACTTGGTTATTATTTATTGCTTCTGCTGTGTGTATACAACGTCCTCCAGAGTTTGTGTATTGAATGCTTAATTTTGACTCGCATGCTGGAAATACTCTGAACCACCAATGGGCTTGGCACGTGTGTTTGTGAGACACTGAAATAAACAATGAATGAATCAGCAAATCCCACACCAAAACCCTACTGTACTGTAAGAACCACACTATCAGACTCTCACGACAGCAGGGGAACGTGATGAAGATTCAATCAGTTCTGAATATATGTCTGGTGGTGGCCAGCTGAGAACAGGGACCCAGATACATTCAAAGCATGGAGAGTGTTGTAGAACTAGAAAGAAATGTACGTGTATTAGGGGTGGGCGGTATACCGGTATGAATGTGAATACCAGTATGACGTTGTGCCATGATATGGATTTTGCCGTATCATGCATATCATGATAAATTAATGTATGAAATAAGGCGTTTTTGTTTCGTTCAACATTTCTGTCGAGTGATACAGCCTAGTGGGCTAGTTCGAATTGTTTATTTTACTAGAAACATAGCCTTTTTTAGCAAATAAAAAAACTAGAAGCATGGACATAACACGCGATCTGCCTGCCAATCAAAGTCAACAAACAAGCATGCACAACTGCAGAGTAAGTGAACATTTAGTGATGTAAACTCCTTTCGTTAGCAAAAGTGTCCGAAAATCAAGCTTTGAGGATGACTGAAGACAAGGAAAATAACGCTATTGAGGTTGATTTGCAGGACGATGAAGAATGTGATTTGGAACTGAAAACAAGAGCAAGAAGTGGAATGAGATAACGAGTGCAATTACGGATCACATAGCAAAAGACATGGAACCAATTCAAACTGTGGAGAAAGACTGTTTCAGAAAGATGATTCGAACTCTAGACCCAAGATATGATATCCCGAGCCGTAAATACTTCAGCAAAACATGTCTGCCAGAACTCTACACAGAATGTCGGGACAGAGTTGCCAACGAAATCCGTAACTCTGCATTCTTCTCTACCACTACCGACTTATGGTCAAGCCGGACCACAGAGCCATACATTAGCCTCACGATTCATTACATTGACGACAACTGGAAGCTGCAAAGCAAATGCCTTCAGACCTCTTATTTCCCAGACGACCACACCAGAGAAATAATTGCAGCTGGGCTGAGGGAGGCACTTTCATCCTGGGGCTTGAAAGAGTTGCGTTAAGTATGTATGACTACCGACAGCGGATCGAACATGGTCAAAGCATTGGAGCTGAACAAATAGACAAGACTAGGGTGTTTCGGACACAGGCTACACATTGTTATTGGTAAGTTTCAACGTCCAAAACACACAGAGCTAGGTAGAAAAATAATGTCACTTAAAAACAACATAAAATGCAGAATAACTATTGTATTCCTTATCTCCTCTGTTTAAAGTTAGAGCTGACTACACTGCCTGATCCTTATACGTTAAGCCGGATATATACAGCTATGCAAATCTAGAATATTTGTCATTTGTAAATGTGTGCATGTCCAAACATTACATGGATTACATTGCTTTTATTTATAAGTGATACATTAGCCTATGGTTTCAATATATGAATGTATCCTCTCTCTTTCAATAATAAATAGCCTACTCAATAAATTATCCCGTTTTCTAAAGCAACATAGCTCTCTTAATCACAACAGTTGTATGTAAATCTATAGATGGATTACATTTGTAATCATGTCCAGTGTCAATGCTGTAAATTGTTGTAATTACATCAGATGCTATGTTATTTCTATTGAATAATTGTGATTCATATGTAATTATTTTTCACCTTTTTATTTTGCAGAGAGGAGTGTCCAAAACGAACCTCGGGTTTCCCGGGCCACAGGAGTGTGCAAGAAAGTGGTCAGCACATTTTCCTATAGTTGGAAGAAGCAGAAGGTCCTGACAAGTGCACAGGATAAACTGAGCCTACCCCTCCACAAGCTCATCACGGAATCCCCGACAAGGTGGGGATCTCGACTGCAGATGATGGAAACAGTCCTGGAGCAGGAAAAGGCAATCACACAAGTCTTGGCAGCAGAAAAAAAAACACAGCACCTTGCACCCTCCTGGCAAGACATTGAGGTCTTTGAATCTATCACGCCAGCACTTAAGCCCCTCCAGGATTTCACAGATGCCCTGTCAGGACACACTCACATATGTCTCTCCTATCTGAAGCCGGTCCTCCATTTGTTCAAGACGGAGGTTCTGAAATCAAATGAGGGCGAAGCCAAACTGACCGGAGAGATTAAGATGAGGGTTCTCAATTCCCTGAATGACAAATACACCGATCCTGAAACAGATGAGCTGCTCACCATGGCTACCTTTCTGGACCCAAGGTTCAAGACCACCTACATGACCACTGAGAAGCTGGTGGAGGTGAAGGTGAGAGCTGCCTCCGAGACAGAAGCCCTCCTGGTAGGGAACACAGCCGTGGGAGACTTATTTTTTGAAGAGGACCAGAGTGAGAGAGAGAAAGAAGCTGCCACTGCTCCACAATCAGCAAAGAAGTCCAAGAAGAGCTTCTTTAAGAAAACCAGTAGTGCACCTGCCTTAAGAACCCAGAGACAGGTCATCGAGCAAGAGCTGGACAGCTACACTCTGATGATGGCAGCAGACAGTGAGGCTGATCCTTTGGAATGGTGGCGAGTTCACGCATCCAACTTCCCACAATTGAGTTGTCTGACAAATAAATACTTATGCATCCCTGCCACAAGTTCGCCCTCTGAGAGAGCATTTAGCACTGGGGGCAATGTGGTCACATGCCACAGGGCAACTTTGAAGCCAGAAACTGTCAATAGGCTGGTGTTCCTGGCACGTAACTTGTGAAGAGGGAGGCAGTGAATTGTTACATGCTGAACTGAGAAACATACAGACTGTCTGGTTAATGCTTGAAGTTAATTTGAAAAGGTTTACAACTTGAATTCATAATGACTGGTGTTATGCTGAAAAAAGACTGCACTTATATTTGGCAGGAAAAAGTTTACATCCTGAGTACTCTAAATAGTTGTTTATAAAATGTTACTGCATATTTATTTAACTCATATACCTTTGTTTATGTTTCATGTTTGCACAGGTTTACCACAGACGTAAAACAAATAATAATAAAAAAATGCCCCCTTTCTGTTTCTATAAGGTTTTTTAATATTTAGTCATTTATTAACTTTGAAGGGCTCATAAAATGTTCAATTTTTTTTTTTACAGTATATCGTGATATTATATCGTTATCGTCCGGACAGTGGAAAATATCGTGATATGAATTTTTGTTCATATTGCCCACCCCTAACGTATATCTTAAGTGTTTTATCACAGGTGTTTAATTTAATTTGAGTAACTGCACAGCTTGAAAATAAATGGTGCCGGATGTTATTGCTATTTTTGTGTGAAAGATAAAGTACTGATAAGTCATAAGCACAACAGGATCCTTCAAGTCCTGGCCTAATTAACAAGCTAAAGCAAACCTAAAATCATCAAAATCACTAAAACCATGACTTGACATAAAATATTACTTTTAGCTACTAGTGGAGCAAAGGGCCTTAAAATTGCTTTCCAATCGAACCCTGTTCTGAACACAATAAAGACCCAATGTAATGTTTCTCTCGTTTCCCTGCAGATTGGGCGCTCCACAGAAAGTCCCATAGACTTTGTTGTGACAGACACGTCAGGAGAGGGGAAGGAGGGCGAGGACCCCTCTGTGGCCCCCAGCACCATCTCCCGCTTCGCCTGCAGGGTGGTGTGTGAACGCAACCCCCCCTACACCGCACGCATCTACGCCGCTGGCTTCGACTCCTCCAAAAACATCTTCCTAGGGGTGAGTGTGGAGCACAGGCTCGGTAGAGCGACCAAATGGAGAGATGTCAATGGACGTCAGTTGAAAATGAGTTGGAGAAGAATCACACTTTGTTATGGCCATGTTCAATTGACACAAATGGGTGTGTTCCTATTGGACAGGTTACGGCAGTACCTACCTACATTTTCTCCCATTGGGTGCCTACTGAACGCAATAGATGCAAATAACCCAAGCTTCTGTTCTCTCTCGGTTTTCTTCTTCCTTCTCTACTTCATCATCATCATCTCCTCCTCCAGGAGAAAGCCACTAAGTGGAAGAACCCGGACGGCCACATGGATGGTTTGACCACCAACGGGGTGCTGGTGATGCACCCTGAGGGCTTCCCTGAGGACAGCAGACAGGGTCTCTGGAGGGAGATCTCTGTCTGTGGGGACGTCTACGCCCTCCGAGAGACACGCTCTGGACCCAGCCGAGGAAAACTGGTCAGTACATAAGCTACAGGATGTACAAACAGAGCTCTGTCCCAAATGGTACCCTATTCCCTATATAGTGGTCTACTACAGTGGGGGGGAAAAAGTATTTAGTCAGCCACCAATTGTGCAAGTTCTCCCACTTAAAAAGATGAGAGAGGCCTGTAATTTTCATCATAGGTACACGTCAACTATGACAGACAAATTGAGGAAAAAAAATCCAGAAAATTACATTGTAGGATTTGTAATGAATTTATTTGCAAATTATGGTGGAAGATACGTATTTGGTCACCTACAAACAAGCAAGATTTCTGGCTCTCACAGACCTGTAACTTCTTCTTTAAGAGGCTCATCTGTCCTCCACTCGTTACCTGTATTAATGGCACCTGTTTGAACTTGTTATCAGTATAAAAGACACCTGTCTACAACCTCAAACAGTCACACTCCAAACTCCACTATGGCCAAGACCAAAGAGCTGTCAAAGGACACCAGAAACAAAATTGTAGACCTGCACCAGGCTGGGAAGACTGAATCTGCAATAGGTAAGCAGCTTGGTTTGAAGAAATCAACTGTGGGAGCAATTATTAGGAAATGGAAGACATACAAGACCACTGATAATCTCCCTCGATCTGGGGCTCCACGCAAGATCTCACCCCGTGGGGTCAAAATGATCACAAGAACGGTGAGCAAAAATCCCAGAACCACACGGGGGGACCTAGTGAATGACCTGCAGAGAGCTGGGACCAAAGTAACAAAGCCTACCATCAGTAACACACTACGCCGCCAGGGACTCAAATCCTGCAGTGCCAGACGTGTCCCCCTGCTTAAGCCAGTACATGTCCAGGCCCGTCTGAAGTTTGCTAGAGTGCATTTGGATGATCCAGAAGAGGATTGGGAGAATGTCAAATGGTCAGATGAAACCAAAATATAACTTTTTGGTAAAAACTCAACTCGTCGTGTTTGGAGGACAAAGAATGCTGAGTTGCATCCAAAGAACACCATACCTACTGTGAAGCATGGGGGTGGAAACATCATGCTTTGGGGCTGTTTTTCTGCAAAGGGACCAGGATGACTGATCCGTGTAAAGGAAAGAATGAATGGGGCCATGTATCGTGAGATTTTGAGTGAAAACCTCCTTCCATCAGCAAGGGCATTGAAGATGAAACGTGGCTGGGTCTTTCAGCATGACAATGATCCCAAACACACCGCCCGGGCAACGAAGGAGTGGCTTCGTAAGAATCATTTCAAGGTCCTGGAGTGGCCTAGCCAGTCTCCAGATCTCAACCCCATAGAAAATCTTTGGAGGGAGTTGAAAGTCTGTGTTGCCCAGCGACAGCCCCAAAACATCACTGCTCTAGAGGAGATCTGCATGGAGGAATGGGCCAAAATACCAGCAACAGTGTGTGAAAACCTTGTGAAGACTTACAGAAAACGTTTGACCTGTGTCATTGCCAACAAAGGGTATATAACAAAGTATTGAGAAACTTTTGTTATTGACCAAATACTTATTTTCCACCATAATTTGCAAATAAATTCATTAAAAATCCTACAATGTGATTTTCTGGATTTTATTTCCTCATTTTGTCTGTCATAGTTGACGTGTACCTATGATGAAAATTACAGGCCTCTCTCATCTTTTTAAGTGGGAGAACTTGCACAATTGGTGGCTGACTAAATACTTTTTCCCCCACTGTATATATAGAGCCCTATGGGCCCTGGTCAAAAGTAGTGCACTACAGTGCATTCGGAAAGTATTCAGACCCCTTGACTTTTTCCACATTTTGTCACGTTACAGCCTTTTTCTAAAATGGATTAAATTGTATTTTTTCCTCATCAATCTACACACAATAACCCATAATGACAAAGCAAAAACGTATAAATAAAAAGTATTCAGACACTTTACTTAGAACTTTGTTGAAGCACCTTTGGCAGCGATTACAGCCTTGAGTCTTCTTGGGAATGACGCTACAAGCTTGGCACACCTATATTTGGGGAGTTTCTCCCATTCTTCTCTGCAGATCCTCTCAAGCTCTGTCAGGTTGGATGGGGAGCGTCGCTGCACAGCTAATTTCAGGTCTCTCCAGAGATGTTCGATCAGGTTCAAGTCCAGGCTCTGGCTGGGCCACTCAAGCACATTCAGAGACTTGTTCCAAAGCCACTCCTGCGCTGTCTTGGCTGTGTGCTTAGGGTCGTTCTCCTGTTGGAAGGTGAACCAGTCTGAGGTCCTGAGCGCTTTGGAGCAGGTTTTCATCAAGGATCTCTCTGTACTTTGCTCCGTTCATCTTTCCCTCGATCCTGACTAGTCTCCCAGTCCCTGCCGCTGAAAAACATCCCCACAGCATGATACTGCCACCACCATGCTTAACCATAGGGATGGTGCCAGGTATCCTCCAGACGTGACGCTTGGCATTCAAAACTCCAAGCGAACTGTCATGTGCCTTTTACTGGAGTGCTTCCGTCTGGCCACTCTATCATAAAGGCCTGATTGGTGGAGTGCTGCAGAGATGGTTGTCCTTCTGGAATGTTCTACCATCTCCTCAGAGGAACTCTGGAGCTCTGTCAGTGATCTTCTGGTTCTTGGTCACCTCCCTGACCAAGGCACTCCTCTTCAGTTTGGCTGTGCGGCCAGCTCCAGGAAGAGTTGGTGGTTCCAAACTTCTTCCATTTAAGAGGCCACAGTGTTCTTGGGGACCTTCAATGCTGCAGAAATTTTTTGGTACCCTTCCCCAGATCTGTGCCTCGACACAATCCTGTCTCTGAGCTCTACGGACAATTCCTTCGACCTCATGGCTTGGTTTTTGCTCTGACATGCACTGTCAACTGTGGGACCTTATATAGACAGGTGTGTGCCTTTCCAAATCATGTCCAATTCATTGAATTTACCACAGGTGGACTCCAATCAAGTTATAGGAACATCTCAAGGATGATCAATGGAAACCGGATGCACCTGAGCTCAATTTCAAGTCTCATAGCAAAGAGTCTGAATACTTACGTAAATAAGGTATTTCTATGTTTTATTTTTCATACATTTGCAAACATTTCTAAAAACCTGTTTTTGCTTTGTCATTATGGGGTATTGAGTGTAGATTGATGAGGAAATTTTTTTATTTAATCAATTTTAGAACAAGGCTGTAATGTAAACAAAATGTGGAAAAAGTCAAGGGGTCTGAATACTTTCCCCCGAATGCACTCTATATAGGGAATAGACACCTGTATCTATGAACGTGTCATTTTCTCTGCTTCTTATATGTTCTAGTGTGTAGTAGTCTGATGTCCTCCCTGTGTGTGTGTGTCTCCGGACTGCAGGCGGAGGGAGAGAGCAGTGCCCTGCGTGATGGTTCTCTGGTGGACCTGTGTGGAGCCACTCTGCTGTGGCGTACTGGAGAGGGCCTGCTCCGCGCTCCCACCCTCCGCCACCTGGAGGCGCTGCGACAGGAGCTCAACGCTGCCCGGCCACAGTGTCCTGTAGGCCTCAGTACCCTGGCATTCCCCAGCTTGCCACGCAGCCACAGGTTAGTAACATACACAATGGTGTAGTGGAGGGTAAATGGAATGTACACACCTTTTTTTGTTTGCGTTGGGTTTTACCCACCTTTTGTGGAAAAATGCATTAAAAGTATAGGGAGTGTTTTATTTATTTATTTTTTAGGGGGTAGATCAGCTTTTAATATTGCAGCTAGATTGTGGCTTCAATCAATGTAATTGCCTGCATCATTTCCAATCCCCCATATATTTGTATTGTAAATATACAGTACCAGTCAAAAGTTTGGACACACCTACTCATTACAGGGTTTTTCTTAATTTTTTTACTATTTTCTACATTGTAGAATAATAGTGAAGACATCAAAACTATGAAATAACATACAGAATCATGTAGTAACCAAAAAAGTGTTAAACAAATATATATTTTATATTTGAGATTCTTCAAAGTAGCCACCCTTTGCCTTGATGACAGCTTTCCACACTCTTGGCATTCTCTCAACCAGTAACCATAGGTACACGTCAACTATGACAGACAAAATGAGAGAAAAAAATCCAGTCTCCAGATCTCAACCCCATAGAAAATCTTTGGAGGGAGTTGAAAGTCTGTGTTGCCCAGCGACAGCCCCAAAACATCACTGCTCTAGAGGAGATCTGCATGGAGGAATGGGCCAAAATACCAGCAACAGTGTGTGAAAACCTTGTGAACACTTACAGAAAACGTTTGACCTGTGTCATTGGCAACAAAGGGTATATAACAAAGTATTGAGAAACTTTTGTTATTGACCAAATACTTATTTTCCACCATAATTTGCAACTAAATTCATTAAAAATCCTACAATGTGATTTTCTGGAAAAGAAAATCTCAATTTGTCTGTCATAGTTGACGTGTACCTATGATGAAAATTACAGGCCTCTCTCATCTTTTTAAGTGGGAGAACTTGCACAATTGGTGGCTGACTAAATACCTTTTTTCCCCACTGTATTGTAAATGAAAGATGAAATGTTTTGCTAAGAGTATTATTATGTTATTGATCGATTGACTATGACTTTTCAAATCACCCAGCAGTGCTAGCTCCAGGTAAATTTGCCAATTCTTCAGCCATTCCTGAACCTGCGAACAAAAACAAGCTACATATGGACAGAACCAAAACAAATGATCTAATGATTCTGTTTCTTCGCAGCAAAATCTGCAGAGCCGGGATAGTTGTATCCCCCATACAGTGAGGGAAAATAATATTTGACCCCCTGCTGAGTTTGCCCACTGACAAAGAAATGATCAGTCTATAATTTTAATGGTAGGTTTATTTGAACAGTGAGAGACAGAATAACAACAAAAAAATCCAGAAAAACTCATGTCAAAAATGTTATAAATTGATTTGCATTTTAATGAGGGAAATAAGTATTTGACCCCCTCTCAATCAGAAAGATTTCTGGCTCCCAGGTGTCTTTTATACAGGTAACGAGCTGAGATTAGGAGCACACTCTTAAAGGGAGTGCTCCTAATCTCAGCTTGTTACCTGTATAAAAGACACCTGTCCACAGAAGCAATCAATCAATCAGATTCCAAACTCTCCACCATGGCCAAGACCAAAGAGCTCTCCAAGGATGTCAGGGACAAGATTGTAGACCTACACAAGGCTGGAATGGGCTACAAGACCATCGCCAAGCAGCTTGGTGAGAAGGTGACAACAGTTGGTGCCAATCTCGACAAAATAACTGTCAATCTCCCTCGGCCTGGGGCACCATGCAAGATCTCACCTCGTGGAGTTGCAATGATCATGAGAACGGTGAGGAATCAGCCCAGAACTACACGGGAGGATCTTGTCAATGATCTCAAGGCAGCAGGGACCATAGTCACCAAGAAAACAATTGGTAACACACTACGCCGTGAAGGACTGAAATCCTGCAGCGCCCGCAAGGTCCCCCTGCTCAAGAAAGCACATATACAGGGCTGTCTGAAGTTTGCCAATGAACATCTGAATGATTCAGAGGATAACTGGGTGAAAGTGTTGTGGTCAGATGAGACCAAAATTGAGCTCTTTGGCATCAACTGAACTCGCCGTGTTTGGAGGAGGAGGAATGCTGCCTATGACCCCAAGAACACCATCCCCACCGTCAAACATGGAGGTGGAAACATTTATGCTTTGGGGGTGTTTTTCTGCTAAGGGGACAGGACAACTTCACCGCTTCAAAGGGACGATGGACGGGGCCATGTACCGTCAAATCTTGGGTGAGAACCTTCTTCCCTCAGCCAGGGCATTGAAAATGGGTCGTGGATGGGTATTCCAGCATGACAATTACCCAAAACACACGGCCAAGGCAACAAAGGAGTGGCTCAAGAAGAAGCACATTAAGGTCCTGGAGTGGCCTAGCCAGTCTCCAGACCTTAATCCCATAGAAAATATGTGGAGGGAGCTGAAGGTTCGAGTTGCCAAACGTCAGCCTCAAAACCTTAATGACTTGGAGAAAATCTGCAAAGAGGAGTGGAACAAAATCTCTCCTGAGATGTGTGCAAACCTGGTGGCCAACTACAAGAAACGTCTGACCTCTGTGATTGCCAACAAGGGTTTTGCCACCAAGTACTAAGTCATGTTTTGCAGAGGGGTCAAATACTTATTTCCCTCATTAAAATGCAAATCAATTTATAAAATTTTTGATGTGAGTTTTTCTGGATTTTGTTGTTGTTATTCTGTCTCTCAGTGTTCAAATAAACCTACCATTAAAATTATAGACTGATCATTTCTTTGTCAGTGGGCAAACGTACAAAATCAGCAGGGGGTCAAATACTTTTTTCCCTCACTGTATATATATATATATATATATAAAACACTCGATTGGTTGCAAAAATTTAGTGTAATAATTTAAATTTAAAACTCTTAGGTTTTGTGTATCAGTTCATAAACCATGTGCCATGGAATCGGTACATCGAAAGTCTCTTCCCAACTATTTTGCAATCTATATGGCACAGCTGCCAATTTTTGGGTCCTTAAAGTAAACTGGTATACTTTTTTATTCATCACATTTTTCTTTAACCAATTTTGGTCTTTTAATGCAGGGCTGGCAGACAAGTTCCTTACTTTCTCTCTGTTCCACTTGCCTCTTCTATTTTTGCGGTAATGCTGCAATTAGTTGGTTGTAATTCTGGGTAGAGCAGACATTTCCATATATTTTTGTTAGCTGCATGTGTGACAACTCCACCAGTCCTATTTATGATATAATTTACAAAGATTATGCCATTTAAAAACTTTTTTAATCAATTAGTACATTTGCGTTTAACCATAATATTTGTTGTAAAATTTGTTCTGTTTTTTTCTGGTGGATTAAACTGAAATTGCAACCAACTTTCTATGGCTTGTTTTAAAAATAGTGATATTTTGGAGATTATTTCATTTTCAAATAACCGAAAGTGAGAGGTTGTAATCTGAATAAAGGGGAAAAGGCCATTCTTGAACATGGGGTGAGACATTCTTAATAATCTTGTAGAGAACCAGTTCGGATTTGAGTATAACTTTTGTATGACCGAAGCCTTTAGTGAGAGGTCTAATGCTTTAATATTTAATCATTTCTGCCATCCAAATTCATATTCATTATATAAATAGGCCTGTTGAATTTGGTCTGGCTTGCCGTTCCAAATAAAATAGAAAAACATTTGCTCATATAATTGAAAAAACAAGTCGCTAGGTGTAGGCAAGGCCATAAGCAAATAGGTAAACTGGGATATGACTAAAGAGTTAATCATGGTGATTTTTCCACAAATAGACAGGTATTTTCCTTTCCATGGTAGCAAGATCTTTCTATTACAGTTTATTGTAGTGAGATCATTTCTTTTTTTCGGGATATGAATACTGAGTATGTCCACTTCACTGTCAGACCATTTTATTGGTAAACTACATGGTAATGTAAAACATTTAAACACACTTAATAAAGTACACATCATAATTTCGTTGTAATCCAGAAGGTTATAAAAATTAGCTAGATCCTCTATGAGGCTGTGGATGGATCCACATTTTGGATTACACCACATCAGTCACTGGCTTCATCAATAAGTGCATCGATGATGTCGTCCCCACAGTGACCGTACGTACATACCCCAACCAGAAGCCATGGATTACAGGAAACATCCGCACTGAGCTAAAGGGTAGAGCTGCCGCTTTCAAGGAACGGGACTCTAACCCGGACGCTTATAAGAAATCCCGCTATGCCCTCCGACGAACCATCAAACAGGCAAAGAGTCAATACAGGGCTAAGATTGAATCATACTACACTGGCTCTGACGCTCGTCGGATGTGGCAGGGCTTGAAAACTATTACAGACTACAAAGGGAAGCACAGCCGCGAGCTGCCCAGTGACACAAGCCTACCAGACGAGCTAAACCACTTCTATGCTCGCTTCGAGGCAAGCAACACTGAAGCATGCATGAGAGCACCAGCTGTTCCGGATGACTATGTGATCACGCTCTCCGTAGCCGATGTGAGTAAGACTTTTAAGCAGGTCAACATTCACAAGGCCGCAGGGCCAGACGGATTACCAGGACGTGTACTCCGAGCATGTGCTGACCAACTGGCAAGTGTCTTCACTGACATTTTCAACATGTCCCTGACTGAGTCTGTAATACCAACATGTTTCAAGCAGACCACCATAGTCCCCGTGCCCAAGGACTCTTAAGATAACCTGCCTAAATTACTACCGACCCGTAGCACTGACGTCTGTAGCCATGACGTGCTTTGAAAGGCTGGTCATGGCTCACATCAACAGCATTATCCCAGAAACCCTAGACCCACTCCAATTTGCATACCGCCCCAACAGATCCACAGATGATGCAATCTCTATTGCACTCCACACTGCCCTTTCCCACCTGGACAAGAGGAACACCTACGTGAGAATGCTATTCATTGACTACAGCTCAGCATTCAACACCATAGTGCCCTCTAAGCTCATCACTAAGCTAAGGATCCTGGGACTAAACACCTCCCTCTGCAACTGGATCCTGGACTTCCTGACGGGCCGCCCCCAGGTGGTAAGGGTAGGTAACAACACATCTGCCACACTGATCCTCAACACGGGGGCCCCTCTGGGGTGCGTGCTCAGTCCCCTCCTGTACTCTCTGTTCACCCATGACTGCATGGCCAGGCACGACTCCAACACCATCATTAAGTTTGCCGACGACACAACAGTGGTAGGCCTGATCACCGACAACGATGAGACAGCCTATAGGGAGGAGGTCAGAGACCTGGCCGTGTGGTGCCAGGACAACAACCTCTCCCTCAACGTGACCAAGACAAAGGAGATGATTGTGGACTACAGGAAAAAAAAGAGGACTGAGCACGCCCCCATTCTCATCGACGGGGCTGTAGTGGAACAGGTTGAGAGCTTCAAGTTCCTTGGTGTCCACATCACCAACGAACTATCATGGTCCAAACACACCAAGACAGTCGTGAAGAGGGCACGACAAAGCCTATTCCCCCTCAGGAGACTGAAAAGATTTGGCATGGGCCCTCAGATCCTCAAAAAATTCTACAGCTGCACCATCGAGAGCATCCTGACTGGTTGCATCACCGCCTGGTATGGCAACTGCTTGGCCTCCGACCGCAAGGCACTACAGAGGGTAGTGCGTACGGCCCAGTACATCACTGGGGCCAAGCTTCCTGCCATCCAGGACCTCTATACCAGGCGGTGTCAGAGGAAGGCCCTCAAAATTGTCAAAGACTCCAGCCACCCTAGTCATAGACTGTTCTCCCTGCTACCGCACGGCAAGTGGTACCGGAGTGCCAAGTCTAGGTCCAAAAGACTTCTCAACAGCTTCTACCCCCAAGCCATAAGACTCCTGAACAGCTAATCATGGCTACCCGGACTATTTGCACTGCCCCCCCACCCCATCCTTTTTACGCTGCTGCTACTCTGTTAATTATTTATGCATAGTCACTTTAACTCTACCCACATGTACATATTACTTCAACTATCGCAACTAGCCGGTGCCCCCGCACATTGACTCTGCACCGGTACCCCCCTGTATATATAGCCTCCCTACTGTTATTTTATTTTACTTCTGCTCTTTTTTTCTCAACACTTTTTTTGTTGTTGTTTTATTTTTACTTTTTTTGTTAAAAATAAATGCACTGTTGGTTAAGGGCTGTAAGTAAGCATTTCACTGTAATGTCTGCACCTGTTGTATTCGGCGCATGTGACCAATACAATTTGATTTGATTTGATTTAAAAGAACATGAATCATTAGCGTACAATGACAACTTTGTTTTTAAGCCCTGGCTTTCTAGCCCCTTGATATTATTGTTGGATCTGATTTTAATAGCTAACATTTCGATGGCCATAATAAATAGATATACCGATAGTGGACAACCTTGTTTTACTCCTCTTGACAGTTTAATACTTTCGGCGAAATAGCAATTATTTACTATTTTACACCTAGGGTTACTGTACTGTACATAACCCATTGTATAAGAGATTCTCCAAAATTGAAATATTCCAGGTATTTATATATAAATTCAGTTGTACTTTATCAAAAGCCTTTTCGAAGTCAGCTATCAATACCAGGCCTGGTTTCCCAGACTTTTCATTGTGATCTATTGTTTACAGTACTTGTATTATTATCTCCCAATGTATCGTCAATGTAAAAAATCTGTCTGATTAGGATGAATGATATCCGACAATATTTTTTTAATTCTATGCCTTTTGCTAGAATTTTTGCATCAGAATACTGAAGTGTAAGGGGCCTCCAATTTTTTTAATGGACTGGATTTTTATATTTACCACTTTGGTCCTTTTTCAGTAATAATGAAATCAGACCTTCTTGTTGAGTACAGTGGGGGAAAAAAAAGTATTTAGTCAGCCACCAATTACGCAAGTTCTCCCACTTAAAAAGATGAGAGAGGCCTGTAATTTTAATCATAAGTACACGTCAACTATGACAGACAAAATGAGAATTTATTTTCTCCAGAAAATCACATTGTAGGATTTTTAATGAATTTATTTGCATATTATGGTGGAAAATAAGTATTTGGTCAATAACAAAAGTTTCTCAATACTTTGTTATATACCCTTTGTTGGCAATGACACAGGTCAAACGTTTTCTGTAAGTCTTCACAAGGTTTTCACACACTGTTGCTGGTATTTTGGCCCATTCCTCCATGCAGATCTCCTCTAGAGCAGTGATGTTTTGGGGCTGTCGCTGGGCAACACAGACTTTCAACTCCCTCCAAAGATTTTCTATGGGGTTGAGATCTGGAGACTGGCTAGGCCACTCCAGGACCTTGAAATGCTTCTTACGAAGCCACTCCTTCGTTGCCCGGGCGGTGTGTTTGGGATCATTGTCATGCTGAAAGACCCAGCCACGTTTCATCTTCAATGCCCTTGCTGATGGAAGGAGGTTTTCACTCAAAGTCATGGCCCCATTCATTCTTTCCTTTACACGGATCAGTCGTCCTGGTCCCTTTGCAGAAAAACAGCCCCAAAGCATGATGTTTCCACCCCCATGCTTCACAGTAGGTATGGTGTTCTTTGGATGCAACTCAACATTCTTTGTCCTCCAAACATGACGAGTTGAGTTTTTACCAAAAAGTTATATTTTGGTTTCATCTGACCATATGACATTCTCCCAATCCTCTTCTGGATCATCCAAATGCACTCTAGCAAACTTCAGACGGGCCTGGACATGTACTGGCTTAAGCAGGGGGACACGTCTGGCACTGCAGGATTTGAGTCCCTGGCGGCGTAGTGTGTTACTGATGGTAGGCTTTGTTACTTTGGTCCCAGCTCTCTGCAGGTCATTCACTAGGTCCCCCTGTGTGGTTCTGGGATTTTTGCTCACCGTTCTTGTGATCATTTTGACCCCACGGGGTGAGATCTTGCGTGGAGCCCCAGATCGAGGGAGATTATCAGTGGTCTTGTATGTCTTCCATTTCCTAATAATTGCTCCCACAGTTGATTTCTTCAAACCAAGCTGCTTACCTATTGCAGATTCAGTCTTCCCAGCCTGGTGCAGGTCTACAATTTTGTTTCTGGTGTCCTTTGACAGCTCTTTGGTCTTGGCCATAGTGGAGTTTGGAGTGTGACTGTTTGAGGTTGTGGACAGGTGTCTATTATACTGATAACAAGTTCAAACAGGTGCCATTAATACAGGTAACGAGTGGAGGACAGAGGAGCCTCTTAAAGAAGAAGTTACAGGTCTGAGAGCCAGAAATCTTGCTTGTTTGTAGGTGACCAAATACTTATTTTCCACCATAATTTGCAAATAAAATGTGATTTTCTGGATTTTTTTTCTCAATTTGTCTGTCATAGTTGACGTGTACCTATGATGAAAATTACAGGCCTCTCTCATCTTTTTAAGTGGGAGAACTTGCACAATTGGTGGCTGACTAAATACTTTTTTCCCCCACTGTATTTGATAATCTACCATTTTTATAGGAGTAGTTAAAACATGCTAATAACAGTCCTCTGAGTACATCAAAAAAGGTTTGGTATACCTCAACTGGTATGCCATCCAGCCCTGGAGTTTTCCTGGACTTAAAGGCTTTAATTGCTTCAAGAAGTTCCTCCCCTGTAATTTGGCCTTCACATGAGTCTTTCTATACAGCTGTTAGTTTTACACTATTAATAGAAAAAAAAATCCTTACAATTAACTTTGGTTAGTGGAGATGGAGGAGACTGAAATGAAAACATATGCTTAAAGTACTTTCCTTCCTCTTTCAAAATATAATTTGGTGAATCATGGGTGACTGTCATTTGTAACAAGTTTCAGAAAATTATTTTTGGTAGCATTTCTATGTTGAAGATAAAAAAATTATTTGGTGCATTTTTCCCCATATTCCATCCAGTCCGCTTTATTTTCATAATATATTACACTTAATCCTTCTTGAATAAGTTCCTCCGTTTCTTTTTGTTTTTCCTCTTAACTTATTCTGTGCCTCCTACAGTTTTTATTACTATCTATCTGTACTGTTAGTCCCTCTATTTCCTTTGTTAATATGAACTCTTTTGACCTATATTGCTTTTGTTTTAAAGATGAGTTTTGAATTGCATGGCCTCTAAAGGCACATTTAAAAGTGTGCCATACAATAAGGGGATCTGCTGTACCTATGTTATGTGGGAAAAAGTATGTTATAAAACAAGTTCCTTGCCCACGTGGAAATTCTGTAAGAGTAATGTATATGCCAATTATTTGATGGTCCGACCGCATTCTGTCCCCTATCAACACTTTTTAAACTTTTGGTGCCAGCGAGAATGACATAAGAAAGTAGTCAAGACGACTAGCTTGATTGAGTCTCCGCCATGTATATCTCACAAGGTCAGGATATTTAAGCCTCCATATATCCACTAGTTTCAATATATCCATGATATTTGTGATTTTCTTATATGCATGAGGGTGATAGTTTGTTGTGTGATTTCCTTTTACATTTCTCCCAACATAACAATAGAGTCTTGTATTGCTTGTAGGCTTGATAAATGATTATATATATTTTCAAAGAAGCTTTGCTCATCATTGTTTGGACCATATAGATTAATGAGCCAAATATGTTTATGGTCCAATAACATATTTATAATAATCATTCTACCTTGCGGATCTGTTTGGACAATTTGCACATTCGGATCAAAATGATTGTTAATTAATATCATCACCAAGTATAGGGAGTGTTAGTTTATTCACCCCGAACGGCAATCAGAATTTACTCACCTACTTTTTTTACCACCACACACACACACACACAGCGGTTATAGCGTTGGGCCTGCATTGGGTTGCTAGTTCGAATCCCTGAGCCGACAAGGTGAAAAATCTGTGTATGTGCCGTTGAGCAAGGCACTTAACCCTAATTGCGCCAGGGTCTCTGTTGATAATGGCTGATACCCCACTCTCCGAGGGGATATGCAAAAACAATGATTACAAAAAAATAAAACAATTCCAAGTCACACATGCGTATTAATACACACTTGTACATGTGATTAATAGGACAAATATAAGCACCCACCATAATATTATTATTATTATTATTATTATACACACACACACCGCTACACTAGGATCTCAACACCTCCCGGCCAGTAGGCCTCAGTACGCATTCAGCCTTGAGCACGACACAACATGGCCCGATTTACAAATCTGTTTTTATCCCATGTAATCTATTTATAGCTATTTTACAATACAACCACTACCAATAAATAATAAAAATGATGCTTTGAGTTTGAGAAAAGCTAAAACCAAGTCATTTTCATTTCCCCCCCAGTCTGGAGGAGCGCCAGCCCTGGGTCTACCTCACCTGTGGACACGTGCACGGCCACCACGACTGGGGCCAGCGCCCCGAGCGCGGGGAGGAGGGAGGAGGAGATGGGGAAGGAGGGATCACAATGGTCCGCCGGGAGTGCCCTCTATGCAGGAGTGTGGGGCCCTACGTGCCCCTGTGGCTGGGGTGTGAGCCTGCCGTGTATGTGGATGCTGGAGCACCCACATATGCATTTGTACCCTGCGGCCACGTGTGTTCGGAGAGGACAGCCAAGTACTGGGCGGATACCCCGCTGCCTCATGGGACACACGCCTTCCGGCCCACCTGTCCCTTCTGCTCTGCCCCTCTCAGCAGCACCCCACAGGGCTGGACCCGCCTCATCTTCCAGGGCCCTATCGACTAGCCAGGGCCCCCGGGGATCCAGACCACAACTACTACGCAAACATGGAACCAACCACGTCACTAAGCCAAGGGCCCATTCCTAACTTCAAATAATAGTGCGGAACTAGCGTGACTATTTCTTTCATTTACACTACATGTATGATGTTAGACAAGTGTGTGTAACTCAAACATTTGTGTAAATCATGCATTGATGTCAGTTTAGGATCTGTGCGGAAGTTTAAGTTAGACGCACGTTTCTCTCAAGGTAAGATTTGTCAATAACAGAACCTCACTTCAAAAGCAATAAGAACACCACTATAGCAAAGTATTACACTCATAGATAAGCTAGTTGTTCTGCTAGTCATCCATGTTTCCAGTTGTCTCTCTTCTGACATGGCTGAAATGTTGTCTGCAGCTCAAGGGCTAAACCTGAGGTGTGTTGAAGTCACTGGATGTTCATGTTGGATGTTCATGTTTACTGGTTTCCTGAAAATGTTCTCTCAAGCCAATTTTTAACCAATAATGTAATGATGTTTTTGATTGAATATTCCATTTGACAAATATGAATTATCCTGAAAACAAAACATTGTAATATTGCGAAGCAGTTCACCTCCAAATTACAGATAACTTACTCTATAGTTGCAAAGATACTAAGTTTGTGAACATTCTGCAGTTTGACCACACCTCAGGTTGGTGACCAATCAGACAGACAGACAGACAGACAGACAAGGTCTTTGTCATGTGACACTATAGCAGAAAGGTCAAAGGGCGTGACCTAAGGTAACCTCATAAGACAACATTTTTTTCAATGAGAATTAAACTATTTTATTAAAAAGGGGGGTGTTTGGGGTGGGATGGGTTAGTACTTTATTTAGATGATAAGATACAACTATTTTTTTATCTTGAGTATTGTTTTTAGTTCAATGTGATTTCTCAATGTAAGCATTTTGTGTATGTGTATGAATATTATTATTATTATTATTATGTGTGTTCGATGAAACTGGGAGAGCTTGTGAGTGAGAGAAAATTGCCAACACTGTGTCACACACACTACACACAACTGTAAAAAATTGCCCAGACAATGAATGTAGCCAAATACTCAGGCTATACTAGCTTAGCCTTCCAACGTGCTCGTATTGAATAGTTCTATATTATGCGACTATTTTTTTATCTAACCGTTGTGATATAGCTCAAACATTTCAGATTGCTTCAAGAAGATGAACACGTTAAATAACACACCTACACTAGATCTTGTTTATCTTGCATGAATACACACACACATCTTGCACTGTGAATTGCCAAACCTTGCATTTATGCTAAATTGTACACAGTGTTACATGTTAATTATACACAGCACTAAATGCCTCAAGTGAAAAGAAATGCTTGCGAAATGAGCAGTCCAACAGAAATCTACAATTTAAACATGTTCTTTCCTATATATGATATGTACTCGCCTACTCAGCTGCTATTCAGGGACAGAGAACATGCAGCAGAACCGACATGTTGTTATGTAGAATATAGATAATCGTGTCAGCTCTTCATATTACATTTCTATGATGTATTAACTGTTTCAGGTTTACAGCCGTCAGTCCTCTACACACTACCATGCTGTATTTGACATACACTATATATACAAAAGTATGTGGACATCCCTTCAAATTAGTGGATTTGGCTATTTCAGCCACACCCGTTGCTGACAAGTGTATAAAATCGAGCACACAGCCATGCAATCTTTATGGACAAACATTGGCAGTAGAATGGCCTAACTGAAGATCTCAGTGACTTTCAACATGGCACTGTCATAGGATGCCACCTTTCCAACAAGTCAGTTTGTCAAATTTCTGTAAACTGTAAGTGCTGTTATTGTGAAATGGAAATGTCTACGAGTAACAACAGTTCAGCCGCGAAGTGGTAGGCCACACAAGCTCACAGAACGGGACCGCCGAGTGCTGAAGCGCATAGCGTGTAAAGAAATGTCTGTGCTCGGTTCCAATACTCACTACCGAGTTCCAAACTGCCTCTGGAAGCAATGTCAGCACAATAACTGTTTGTCGGGAGCTTCATGAAATGGGTTTCCATGGCCGAGCAGCCTAAGATCACCATGCGCAATGCCAAGCATCGGCTGGAGTGGTGTAAAGATCGCCACCATTGGACTCTGGAGAAGTGGAAACGCGTTCTCTAGAGTGATGAATGACGCTTCACCATCTGGCAGTCCGATGGACAAATCTGGGTTTGGCGGATGCCAGGAGAATGCTACCTGCCCGAATGCATAGTGCCAACTGTAAAGTTTGGTGGAGGAGGAATAATAGTATTGGGCTGTTTTTCATGGTTTGGGCTAGGCCCTTAGTTCCAGTGAAGGGAAATTTGAACGCTACAGCATACAATGACACTAGACGATTCTGTGCTTCCAACTTTGTGGCAACAGTGTGGAGAAGGCCCTTTCCTGTTTCAGCATGAAAAATCGAGGTCCATACAGAAATGGATTGTCGATTGGTGTGGAAGAACTTGACTAGCCTGCACAAAGCCCTGACCTCAACCCCATCGAACACCTTTGGGATGAATTGGAACGCTGACTGCGAGCCAGGCCTAATCGCCCAACATCAGTGTGGCTGAATGGAAGCAAGTCCCGCAGTAACGTTCCAATATATAGTGGAAAGCCTTCCCAGAAGAGTGGAGGTTGTTCTAGCAGCAAAGGGGGGACCAACTCCATATTAATGCCCATGATTTTGGAATGAGATGTTCGACGAGCAGGTGTCCACATACTTTTGGTAATGTAGTGTGTAATGTTACCAATGGGTAAAGATTGAAGCACTTCAGGATGTTAAAACCAATCAGGACGTCTTCCAAGTTCCCAGTTCAGTTGTTAGAAGAACAGCCTTCTCTTCCTTAGTACCAGTGTTTTTCACCAAACCGATTGTGTATTAGCTCAGGTTTAGATTACCCAGAGTTTACCTCCAGGGCAGCACAGGACACTCAGCTACAGTAAGCTAGTAGTAGACAAGATTTTGGATGTTCATTTATTTCATGGACGCATTGAAAGAGTTGCAAAGTTAGAGAACATTCAGATAAGAATGCATTGTTTAGAAAATACATGAACACTGAGTCATGTCAGTCAGTAAAGTCAATTTCTGTCTGCAACATTCAGTAAAACAGTGTTACCTTTAAAAATTGTTACCTACCCCATTAAACAGCCAAAATCCCCATTTGCCCCAGTCCACGGGATATCCTGCTATTGAACGTGCCAATTCTTAAATGTAGGCCTATTATTATGAGATACCAGGTGAATTAAATAATGTTTGCCGAACATTTTGGCTTATTTTATGGTTTTATATACTTGGTTGTTTTGGTCCTTTTATCCGTTTGGTTTTTCTCCTCTGCTTTATTCTGCCATTGGGCCCCAGAGTCTGTATAAGTCGCTCCTAAAGACAGGTCCAGGGTCAGATAGTTTCAGTCCCTCTAATGCTTCAGACTGGAATTGGTGGGAGCGTAATCTGATCCTAGATTTGTTGTTAAGAGGAACTTCTACATTAAACACATTTTTTTATCCAGTTGATCCACCCACCACAGCTGACCTCTGACTTGTAAAGGTCCTGATAGCCTCACAACTATCACTCCTCTGGAGCGACCAAAACTCTAAATGCTGATATGAGGTGCTTTGTCTCTTACCTTACTTTAATCCTGGGGTGCACAGACAATCACTGTACGTACACCCGTCAATAAACCTGTTTTAAACTAGCATGTCTGTCTGTTTACTGGATGGAAGGGGATGGGATTAAGGTTTAGGGGGTCATGAATGTCAAAAGGAATACCTGTTCTCCCCTTCTTTTCATTTGAAAATCATTCTTTATTTTACTCTTGTATCACATTGGGTGGAGCTCACAGAGCGGAGCACCCAGATTCTGGTGAGCGAAACTGTCTGCACTAATTATATTGATCGGGAAAATGGGATGATATCTAGAGAATATACGCATATTAATGTGAGTTTACTATTAAGAAAATATTTGAGGATGCCTTGACAAGTTTGTGCCTGAGACATACACATCAAATGGTGGCCCTAGAGTGTGTTTTCCTCCCAGACCACCAGGGGGCAGCCTCTGATAACGCCGACTGAGGCCATCAGCTCATCGGTTGCGTTCCCCTGCTTAGCGGTTGGATGCATCAACCAAAGGCTGCATGCCAAGTCATCGTCTGTGTCATCGACTGACGGAGTGGCATAACATATGATGTGGTTAGCTGATACGTAAAATACCTATCCAGACGTTGTAATGTCTGACGGGCGTCACCAACGCTTGGGCAGAGGAACGCGTCCACAATCTCCATCATATAAGGGTTGCTCTTGCTTTACATCACCTCTTTAACTCATCTTACTGATTAGAATGAGTCATTCTGACTGCCTTAAGTATACAACCCTAACCCAGATAAGACGCTACGCTACTTTTCTCGTAATAATAGAACTACACCGATATAAAGACAAGGGTTTAGGAAGAGTTGAGACCGTTTGTTCTCTGGATGCCAGAAGACTCAGAAAGAAAACCTGCTGACTGTTATTTAAAAGTTTGTTCTGAAATTATTTCACTCTTCAGCTGAAGGAGACAGTTTTTTCCCCTTAAAAAGATTATGAAGCCTATTTCATGGGTATCTTAGTGACACAGAGTATTTCACCTCATCCTCCATAGAGAGGAAAGAGGAGAGAGAGAAAAGGCAGTATCTGTGAGACCCAAAGAGCTGTTCAGAGTTTGTTGGTGGGAAGCATCTTGAGGACACACTAATATTGACTATAGTCTAAATGGTACAGTATTAGTGAGTATCAAACAATGCATACAATGCATATAAAGCAATGACAATACACTGAGTGTACAAATCATGACATAGACTGACCAGGTGAATCCAGGTGAAAGCTATGATCCCTTATTGATGTCTCTTGTTAACTCAATATTAGGAAGGTGTTCTTAATGTTTTGTACACTCAGTGTATATTCCCAAAATGAACTGGTTTGCCAAAATTCTCCAGGAGAGGGCC